GCCCCGGCCACACCAACAGCATCAGCAACAGCAACAGCATCAGGAGGGTTTACATAGGTTATAATAGGGTATATAAGGTTCTTAATAGGGCATATATAGGGTTTATGATGCACAGCACGAAACCCCTGCATGCGGCTCACTTGGTTTCTTTTCCTTCAAGAACAGCCTCAGGTCGCCTTACGTTTTTTCTTCACAGGGGCATTCTTCTTGTCATCGTTCTTCTTGTCATTGCCTCAGGTCGCCTTACGTTTTTTCTTCACAGGGGCATTCTTCTTGTCATCTTTCTTCTTGTCATTGCCCGTCTTCTTGTGAGCATCTTTCTTGCGGTCATCGTCCTTCTTCTTGTCGTCATCTTTCTTCGAACCGCTCGCTTCCTCCAGCTCCTCCAGCTCGGCTTTGCTGATCGACTCGACGACCTCCTTGATGATGCTCTTTGAAGACTCCATGGCATGGCTCTCATCCTCGGAGTCGAAGTCTGCAGTCTCTGGGTCCGCTCCGAAGTGATCTTGCATCCACCGCACTGAAAGAGTGCGAAGCAACATGGCCAGGGACCTCCTTTCGTGAGGGTACATCGCCTATGAAGTCACTGTGCTCTGCTCTCTCGCATGCGGTGCTGCATGATGCTCATGCATGTGTTGTTCTGCTGCTGAGCCGAACACCACCATTCATCCTTTGCACTGGAGACCATGCACTCCATCCCTGCTGCGGTTGTTGCTGTTGCTGCTGCTGTTGTTCTGGATCCTTCTGCTGCGGCTGCTGCTGTTGCTGCTGTGGTCGTCATGCAGCACATGCACCGCACTGCTCTTCAGAAGCATGCACAAGTAAACTGACATGCTTGACATGACTGCAACACATGCACCACAAGACTGCACATGCATGAGTCCTCGGGCTATTCTAGCCACGGCTTTCAGATTGATCGGCGATCACCCCAGCCCTCCCCTGCCATGTCCCCAAAGCATGTACTTCTGTTTCCCCGTGCAACCTGCCGCCCCATGCAGGAAGCCCCGACCCCACTCCGATCCACCCCATGCACCGAGCTCATTACATGCACACATATACATACATATATACCATGGATATATGTACATATATATATATATATCCATAGTTGTGCATGGATATATACATAGAATATAGATACAATCTATCTATTATTTCTCTATCCATCACACCACACGACTGCCCGCCACGTCCTCCGAGCCGCCGCCCACTGCTTTCCCAGAGTGGTTTCTGTGCCCACACCACCCACAAAAGATTATCACGGAGCCGCCCAAAGGTTGCTCTAGGGTCACGGGACAGTTTAGAAATATTAGCGGCAGCTCGGCCATCAGCAGCCACACTGGCCAAAGCAACTTTATTAAAAAATAAAGTTGCAGGGTGCAGGTTTATTTTTTAATAAAGTTGCTCACTGCAGGTTTATTTTTCAAGATTCTTTTTAATTCTAGAATTTGCAGGTTTATTTTTTAATAAAGTTGCACGGTGCAACTTTATTAAAAAATAAACCTGCACCCTGCAACTTTATTTTTTAATAAAGCTGCAAATCTCATCTTTCTTCAACACACCACGGTGGGGTACCCCCCTGGGGAAACTCTCGCCGATTTTTTTCCGTGATTTTTGGCCAATTTTGGCCCGAACGTGGCCTGTTTCGTTTTTTTGCAACTGCACCATGGGATTTCTCGACACCCCTGCCTATGTTTTGCTTGGTTGCGAAAAACTGAAATCTGGTAGATGCTGGTTTGAGGCTGTTTGGGGGGGGGGGGGTCGGCGGAAAATTTCGTGCACTGCACAACACTGCATGACTGCTTCAGAACACCACAAGGACATGTACAGGCACTGCACAGCACCACTGTCACTCCTGATTGCATGACATGCACAGCACGACTGTCGCTCCTGTACTGCAGCAGCACTTCCAAGAAACTCCGACAGCCACCAGAACATATCACCCGAAACCCATTATAACATACCACCCGAACCCTAAATGGACCCATTGCACCGCACGGCCGACAATTTATTCTGTAGCTTCTGAACAACTCAGTCGCCGCTGCAAGGTGGCAGCAAAGCAGGCCCCGCAATGGTGCAGCATTGCAAACGAAGTCTAGGTATGAAAGCCTATCTATGTATTCGCGACACCGGAAATACATACAACCACACCAAAAGCCTATGTACGGTGACCCTGGCTCCTGCTTATATAGAACCTATATATAATCACTGCGACCATTGCCTGTACTGCCTGCACGGAAGGATAGGTGAGACGGCACGGGGAATCAAGAGCCGGGCTTCCCCAACACGTGCGATCTACAGGGATTAGAAGGTTCAGGGTCTATAAGGGTTATAAAGGACAAGTGCACACCGAACACGTCTAAGCAAACTTCCCTATACGTGCTGAACGACTATATACAGAAACCCTGTGCACGTGCCAAAAGGGGGCCCGGGATTTCCATCGGGAGACCATGATGTCGGGAACTGCTCTTGCGACCGGCCTCGGTAGCTCTTGCCTGTGTTAAAAGCACGGAACATGTTCACCTACACAGGCCTTAAAGGTGGGACATGTTTAGGATTAAGGGGTTCAGGGTTCAGGGTTTGGGCCTTATTTGGTTATGTAGGGTTACATGATCTGGGCCTTGTGTTTAACTCTGACTATAGTTTCTAAAACACTACCAGAATAGTACCTATATGGGGTGTCGGCGGGCGCCGGAAGCTGTCTCGCTAATTATGTGGCCTGGGCACATGGGCTTACAACACCTCGACACCTACATGCTGCCGAGACCGGACCGTCCTTCTTTCGGGTGCACCCGACTGACAAGCCGATTCTACGGGCGAAGGTCACACGATGCCTGAATGCTGTTTTTATTTTTCTGGGTCTGCTGCAGCCTACAAGTCTCTTTTGTGTGGCCTTCATGCCCTCAAGACTTCCTTACGTAAGTCCACCTCATACAAAGCCGACAACAGGAGTGATCGATAAGGATCGGCAGGCTGCGGCATGTCATGCAACACGGAACAAAACTCGCGATCTAACTGCCCTGTGACCTCAAGAGCTACACTGAGAAAGTGACATACAACAGTGTACCATGCACTGCATGTATACTATATACGGTATACCATATTCCACGACATGCCTGCTTGCCTGGCCTACTTGGCTGTCCGTTCAACAACCCTGGCCATGGTGTGTAAGGCTGTGAGAGCCTCTCTCATGTCCTCCAGGTGGGACTGTTGTTGCTTTGCTCTCTTCCCCTGCTCACGGCGGCCTCCACGTCCGCGATCTCGGTCTCTGCCCTGCCCTGGCCTGGGATGGTCGATAGGCTTGGCTTGTGAATGCTTTGTGATAATGAAGCTTCTTCGGCTTATGTAAAGGCATATACAGTTGGTTTCGGGACGTGCACAAGAATTCAATTACACAGCTCTGTGGACTTGCAAGTGCATGCATGTTCTGCTGGCACCGTCAAGACCCTGATATACCCCAGCCCAGGAAAGCCTGAAAAAATCCCAAGAATAAGCAAGGCACGTGAAGAACTTGCCCTCTGGGCTGACATAGCCGCCTCGCACATAGGTGCCCTTTCGTCCCGAAGAGCCCGAGGATGTGCTCTGCGACCGGCGGTCCACCCAGGGCTTGCTCCATGCCGCATCCTTCGCGACCTTCTTCCCATGCCACTTGTTCCCGCCATTGTGCACCTGGTCGTCCTCATACTTGTAGTAGTTCTCGTGGCTGGCATAGTTCACCTGGCTGGCACTGTACCACGCAGAGTCCCATTTGCGATTCCACTCTGACTTCGTGAAGCTGGTGCCGTCGCCATGCTCACCATCCCAAGCCTGCTCCCCTTCCGGCCACTCGGTCTCCATCGGCCAAGTGTCCTCGTAGAAGCCATCGCCGCCGTCCTCGTCCGCCTCCGTCTTGGGCTCCAGCCACTCAGCTGTCTCCACACCCACAGGTGTTGCAGGCGACGGGGGAGTCGAGCACATGCTTCGAAAGGCCGCTCAGCCCGCACACGGGCCAGAAAACAGACGATCAAAGAAACGATCTGAGCAGAACATGCCGCATGACATGGAAAGCTGTTGCAGAACTGCGACATGCATGCTGCAGCAGAACTGATTCTCACATGAAGTCAAGCACTGCCGGTTCCTGAACTCACGCACAGCTAACTTTCTGAAAAAGTCATTGTCGTTGGCATGGTGCATCATCACTATAGGGCCTCCGATGTCTTCCTTGTGGAAACAGAAGAAGAAAACCTCTAGACTCTAGATGAGGTTTAAAAAAGGATATACAGATGGATGGGTATATATACAGTATATAAACTGCCATCACCGGAAGGCCTGGAAAATCTTGCTGATGGGACCCAGCTGGAAGTTTTCGGTACATATAGGAGCGTGGGTTCTGCATGCATGTGGGACATGTGTGAACATGTGTATACGTACATATGTACCTACACAAATACATGTGTAAATATATATGTACATATATATGTATATATATATATATATGTATTACATGTTTTGCTTTATTTAACCTATATATATATATATACGATGTGCTATACATAATATATATCTCACCCAAAATCAATATAGATTGGATTGGAAACCTCAGAGTTCGAAACATCGCATAGAACCATCAATAAACACCCTGCATGAGGTGCAAGCCCGCTATAACAAACAAAAATACATGTGTGTCTATATGTGTATATATATATATATATATATGTATGTATATTCATGTAGCCATGAACATATATACATGTATATATGTGTGTACACCTACACATATGTTCATGTATATACATACAGACACATATATGTATATATAGGTATATTTATATATGTATATTTATATATATATATATATATATATATACATGTAGATGCACGATCTCTATCAACCCTGACATAGCGAAAAACACCTGTGTGTATAAAACGTTCATAAAGCTTGTACATGAGCCCGAGATGCCGATAAAACCCTGCAGTCATGTAATGTCATCCTGGGAACACAAGTACAGGAAACACAAGCATCACTCCTCGTCCTCCTCTTCCTCGCCGTTCGGTGCATTCTGCAAAGCCGCCTCGCCACCGTCATCTTTCAACGGTTCTTCACCGAGTTCATCATGACCACGTGGTTTCGGGCCTCGCCTTCGCCGCTTTCTGGGGCTGTGCTTGGCCCGGGCACTGATGGGCTGCTCCCATGCCGGCGATCCAAGGATGGCCTTCTTGGCATATTCCAGATTCTCGAAAGTCAGCTCCATCCAAACGTCCGGTGTCTTCAGCTTCCACAGAAGCTTCAGCTGGGGACCATCCACCTCCTCGGCATCCGGGTTCTCTGGGTCCTTATACGGAGGAGCCTGCACAGTGACAAAGCGACCTGCCAGGAACTCGTCGGCCTGTGTTGCTGGGCGGATTTTTTCGGGCACCTTGCCGCCCGATGCTTCCGCAGCCTGTACGATGAGCTTTTTCAGAGAGTCGTTACAGGCTTGACGGCGAAGATCGGTCATCGTCTGAAACCAATGGACGTTGATAGAGTTCTTGGGCTTCTTCGATCCCGAAAAAAGATTGAGAGACTTTCCTGTAACATATTGGGTTAACTGACGGTCCCATTTGTTCAGCTTGATGAAAGTCACACCGGATGCCTCCTCGATGGTGGGCATCCATACACCTTTCAGGCCACCTCCGCTTATGCACGTGGCCGTGTAGATCTTCAAAGGTTGGTCGTCCTGTTCTTCGAGCTCCGCGGCATTCTCCTCCCCCGACATTTTAGCAAGCGGGTGCGAGCGAGGCCCTGCAACCCTAGTCAGCGAGCATGCCCTGCTGACTCCGAAAGCTAAAGAGCAGCCGGTAAATGCACCAGCATGCACATCATGAAGCTAGCCGGATAAGTGCGAGACTTCATCATGCATGCCATGCACAGCACAGACACACTGCACATCCTTCTTTTGCATGGTGTGCGACCTGACCTGTGTTTCGCAGAAGCTGGAGCAGCTTCTCCCGCATTATGTTCGTGGAAGCGACCCCTCGTGACGATCAGCAATGTGGCCAGAACTCGTCTATCCTAGACTTTATGGCGAGCTGCTGCAGTCTTCTAAACTATACACAATACAATCTCAGGCCATGCTGGGGAGCTAGTTGCCCAATAAGTGCATCATCAAAATTTGGGCTTCGAAGGCATGCTCGCCGCATGCTTACTTCCTCGCCTTCTTCTGCACGGGCTGGAGATTTTCAATCTCCTCTGCCTTGTGCTGGTCAGGCCTGAACAGGACCAGGCTATCGGCCGCCTGGAGTTTTTTGTAATTCCGGACCATTGGAAGATTGACTGAGGTTGACAAGCAAGTGAGCTTCTGCTGCTTGTTGGCCCCGACGATTTCTAGATTGCCTTCCTCGCGATCTGAGGTAGACTTGATGAGCCACAGCGGGTTGATAAAGCCCGAGCCGGCTTTCGGCGCCTGAAAGGTCGGCAGGACGGAAATCGTGTGAGTTGGCTTGCTGCCGGCTGTTGCAAACAAGCCGACCTGAAGTGCTCCGGGAGGGAGAGTCTCACTGACCAAACGACAATCGACACGAGGGCTGGCAATGGCTAGCTTCAATGAGTGAACATTGTAAGTGGACTTGACTTGGACATCCTTTGACGGCTTCAAGAAGACATCGAACTTCTCGTTCTTCAAGTTCTCGTACTGATGCCACATCGATGGGAAAACGAGACCTTTCACGCCGGCAATAATGAACTCCTCACTTTTGGGGGGGGAGAAATTCAGCCAATCTTTGCACAGGACTGGCTCCGGCTTGACAACATACTCCTTCCAGCGGCCTTGCACGAAGGACTCGGAGGAAGCTTCGTAAAGCTTCCCGTCGCTGAGCTTCAAGCGGACCTTGTCGGCCGACATCTCCATGATGGTACCTTGTTGCTCATCCGCCTTACGGACAACCTTCATTCCCACAGCAAATCCAAGATCGGAAACACGTGAGCTGGTTACGAGGCCACCCTCCTGATCGAACATGCGGAGACTCCTCAACACGAAAGAAATATACACAGCAAGCTTTCAATCGCAAAAGCGCCGAAGCGACCACAGATACCCGAAACTCGCTAAACATGCCCCACACCACACTAATGTTGTTTCACTTTCGGGATATATGTATTTTTTATATATATAAATAAACTTATAAAAGAAATATGTATTTCTATATATGCGGTTTAGAGATGTTGTTTACCAACATGCTTTTGTGTGTGGATATGAAAACGTTTGGGGTTTGAGGTTGACATATCTAGAAGGTCAGATGGAAGGGCTGCTTTCAAACATCGAGCTACGAACCACGAGCAGCTGTGCTTGCTGAAGACGATGTCGCTGGGACCTGACTGGCTGCAGTCCATGGGCTCGCAATGCCGAAATCGCCGAGGCACTTCTCCGCCGCCTGGTGAATCGTGTCAAACTGGGTCAGCTTCTTCTTCTGCAAAACCACAGCTGCCATCTGGATTTCGCACAACCCCAGTGCCGCCTCAGCACTCTCAGCATTCTGTCCCTGCAGAAGCTTCTGAAGCTCCAAGAACACGGTCTCTGCCTCGCCCATCCTCGCCATGACGTCTTTGGCCGTGAGCGACCTCTTGACGTCCGTCACCGTCAGGCTCTTGTCTGTCGCTCCGCACAAGCCCAATTTGAGCAGCATGTGCCGGAAAAGCACGTGTTGGTTGGGACCCTTGCAGTCGGCGCTCAAGGCCTGCCAGACCTCGGCACCCAGCGACCGATTGGACACCCCGTGTCCTCGCACGAACCGTTCCGTTCGCGACAGGTAGCTCCCCTCGCCGGAGCCCCCGCCGCACTTGAGAACGAACGAGAAAATGTGCGGTAAGGATGCCGCATGGGGCGGTTTGCTGCGGAGGATCTCCGCAGAGATATCCGCATATTCCACGGTCGTTTTCGAGGTCCGCTTGAGGAAGCTGGCTATAGCGGTGTTGACCTTACGTGCCAGCTGCATCTCACCCTCTGCCGATGCAATCTGCATCGCAGAGTTCCCCGCAGCTTGTGCGAGGGAGGTGTACTGCGGGAACGCAGCAGGCACCGCATGCGAGATGATCAACCATTGCATGCCCTCCTGGATGGCACGATGCCAACCGGCATCCACGGTCTTCAACTTTTCGAGCGAAAGCCGGTTGTCCACAGTGAGCTTGTCATCGGTATGGGGAACTTGAAACCAGAAGCATCTCGCCGCCTGGTTGGCGTGCGATCCTACGATGGATGCAAATCGGATGTTGCTTGCAGGAGCCAGTCTCCCATTGCTCTCCTCGGTGACCTTGCGGTTGAAGCTTCGAAGTGCCTCTCCTTCTGCGGTTGGTGGAATTTCGATAGCCACTCTTCGAAACTCGGCCGCCGAGAATCCGATGCTGGAGATGTTCGACACAAGGTCAGAAACATGTCCCGCTGAAAGCCCTAAACCATCACGGTTCTCTTCGTGCACACCTATGCAATCGCATCGCAGCACCTGTCTCCAGGCAAGGCCCTCCTGGAGTAGGTAATCGTGTAAAGCATCCACCGCCTGGACGAGTTTGCCTTGCTCTGCCGAGTGCAAGTAAGCACTGATCATCAGCCGCTGTGCTTCCGACAACGACATGGCCACAATTGGAAAGGTCGTGGGGACGTGGATCAGAGTCTGCGAGCCTTGCCCTGCTGACTCAACTTCGCGAGTTTAACCCTGCGAAGTCATGCATGCCTGTGGGCATGACATATATAGTGGACGATACGTTGAAAAAGAGTCCCAATCCGTTGTTCCGAAGCCAAAAGAGCCAACAAAAGCAGAGAGCCGACAAAAACGTATCACACAAGCATAAACTTAAACCAAGGGTCCTGTGTATATATATACACACACAGAGCACAGCCTTTCACAATCCAGCCACCGAGAAGGGAACCAAAAAGGACTATATAATACACTCCGAAATTCCTTGAACCCACAGCCCTGCAACACCATGCCTGTGTCAGCCAAACCCACAAAACACAGAGATATGTGTGCATGTGTGTACACATAAACACATACACATGCACAAGTCTTTTAAATTGTGTGTCTTCGTATGCCTGTATATAGGTCTGTACAATGTCTATGCATGTATGTTTGTGTGCATATATACATCTGCACGTGTGTGTATATATATATGTATATATACGCACATACATACACATATGTGTATACATGAAATGATATATAGATATGTGGCGTTTATTCAGATATGTGTATAACTCTAAATTCCCACCTGCACCAAACATACTTATGTTGATGGTGATGCATGTTGCTATGTGTGTGAACTGCAGCAAAAAGAAACAAACACGACCCCAGCCTAACTTCCGACCAAACCACGACCCGCCCCAAAACCCTTGGAAAAAAGGAGCCCGCCTGCACCCACACAGGCAGCTGCAGGCGGCCCAGCAGCCGAGGCAGGAGGAAAGGAAGAGCTTTGGGGGGGGGAAGGTGTGCATGTTTTCTTTGAAGATTCTTGTTGGTTTCTGCTTTCGTTCCATGTGAAATGCTGTTTCTCCAGAAAGTCAGCTAAAGGAAAAACAAAAAAATTCTGGCTGAAAGACCATCCCAAAAACTTCAAAATTACAAATCATGCCCCCAACGTGCTTGCTCAATTTTCTTGCAATTCGCACTCTGCGAAGCCCTGAAATAGAAAATAACAATAAAAGCGATCCACTCGTACTCGCCCAAAACCATGAATTTGCTATGACCAGCCCGATCCCTAAGTGAGCTAAGTGGACTTAGCCTCACCATCGCAAAAACCCATCCGGCAACTGACTTAGCTTTCATTTATATCTGGTTTAGCTAACATACTGTTAAGTTGCCTAAGCTGGCTTGGTCACTTATACATAAGTGACTCAACTACATAGATAACCGAACCATATATGGCCAATTGGTTGGCCGCAACATATACTTGGACCCTTTCTGGTTGCTAACCTCCCTATACAGCTTGCATCACATGCACATCACTTAACCGGGTACATAGACAAGATATCCGGTCACTTGGTCGACATATAAGTTGGCATACTATCCAGGCCATGTGGGACATTTGAATATAACCAACACCGACTTTCCAAGTATGTCCTTGCCGGCCCGGTGGAAACCGTTTGCCATGGCTCTTCCCGCCGTTCTTCTTGCCACCGCCAGACCTGCCTCCGCCGGACTTGCCTCCCGACTTGCCACGAGGCGGGCTGATCGGGCTGCGACTGCGGCTGCGACGCTCTGCAGCTTCCTCGCGCTCGGGCGTCGGGCTGCGAGCCGGCGGGCCGCGGACCATTTGCACGACGCCAGCGGCAGTGGGAGGTGACGCCGACGCAGCAGGTCGGGCTGAGAGCTCCAAAATCATGCTCGTATGAAGGGTGCAGGTCGGGCTTGCTGGCATGGCTGGTCGGTGGCCTCCTCGTTTGCCTCGTTGCTCCCGCCGAGTTGCCGCCAAAGTACGGCGTACGCCCTTTGGACCTGCGGCGGTGGAGCGCCGACCTAAGGGTTCCCGCCCCTTGCATGGCCTGGGGCTGGCTTCTATTCGGCCTGTTCTTGGGGGCACTGGCAAGCAAGGCCATCGACCGAGTCACGTCGCACGTGGCTGTTGCCCGCGCCCCCTGCTGCGAGGATGCCCGTCGACACCGCTGCGGATCTGCCGCCGGCAGGGTTGCTGAATACTTTGCTCGGCGACCTCTTGCTGGCTGCGCCCTGCGCCACTCGCGAGACAACGCAAGCGCGGGGCCATCAGTGACTTATTTTCTTGTCACGTACTGGT